TATCCATTTGAGTCCCTGCTTTCACTTCTTTTAGGTATATAGTCAGAAGTGAAATTGCTGGATTTTGTTTTTTAAAGTATAATTTACATATGACGCTCACTCTTTTTTGTGTACCGTTCTTTCGGTTTTGACAAACACAGTCACATAGCTGTCACCACAATCGAGATACAGTGCCATCACCATGAAAAGTTTTCTTATGCTGTTCCTTTGTAGTCAACCTCCCCCAGCCTCGCCACCCTGGTCTCTGGCAAACAGTGATCTGTTTTCTTTTATAGTTTTGTCTTTTCCAAAATGTCGTATAAATAGAGTCATACATTATATAGCTTTTTGAGTCTAGCTTCTTTCACTAGCATAATGAATCTGATAGTCATCAATGTCCTGGCCTGTATCAGTAGCTAGTTCCTTTTCATCAATGATTTACATTGTATCACCATTTGTTTTTCCATTCTCCAGTTGAAGGACATCTGATTATTTCCAATTTTTGGCAATTATGACTAAAGCTCGCATACAGGCATTTGTGCAAACAAAAGTTTTAGTTTCTCTTTGTAAGTACCTATGAACCACAAGGTCAATGTGAGCATTAAACAAGGTACAATAAAGTGTTTAGCACCCTCTAAGGTACATAGTAAGAATCTTGATAAATGATGCTGTTAGAAAAGTTTGCTACAGAATTCTATTATAAGTCAAATAAAAAGAACCTATGAGATCCCAAATAGAATTTTATTAAGCACCTTCTATCTGCCAGGCATTCTTCCAGTTTCTGAAACAACATTCAATTAGAATTAATAATGTCCTGTGTGTGTTTGAAGACAAAAAGCATCTCTCGCAGTTTTTCACCTACGTCATACCCACAATTGGGTCTATTTCTCTGGTAACAATGCTAGACTTTCCCTGATGCCTCCCCTTTCCCCATGTGGTACCCCAGAGGTGTAACTAGCCCATCATGGCTGTGCCAAATGGCCTTAACTGTAATTAAAAAAAAAAAAAAAGAACCAAGAGGAAAGACGTTTCTAATAAAATAATATATATCATGTGAAATATCCATAATGAGCTATGCGTCTGGTCAAATGCAGACTGTTACGCAGGCCCTGCATAGTGCAACTGCCGTTACCACCAGCAATACCATTCTCCAAACTGGGGAATGACCCTCAGTAATGTTCCAGACAAAACAAAGAACAGGAAAATTGAGTGTCCATTAAAACTGTACCAGAAATGCTTTGTGGTTTGTAAATAAAATTAGGTTCTAATTATAAACGTTTTCAAATACAAAGATCCCTGATGGGACATTTGAGAGTTATGCAGAAAATAGGACAGTTCTTTATCGAGCTGGACTATCCTGCACGTTGCAGGCCTAGCCTTCCCCCAATAAATGCCAAGAGCACCTCCCCACCCAGCAATGTCACAACAAGAAAAATCTCCCTCACAAACCCCCATTAAGTGCCCTAAGGGACAGCAGCACCCCCATGGAGAACCACTGATCTAAACCAAATTTTGTAAAACTCGGAGTAAACTTAACTTTGGGTAACTGTGAGTTAGCTTTGTATTTCTGTAATAAAGCAATCTGATAGGAAAAGTCCTTATCTCTTTACAAAGAATGGAAGGAAACCTTAGAAATTGTCTTGTAAACTAGAGAACAGAGCTCAATTAAATTTACTTATAAGACCTTTGCCTTGGTTAATTATATTAACAAAAGTTCTTTGGTTTACTAGGTCACTGTAATAGGCCAAAAATATCAGGTCCTAATCTTGGAACCTGAAAATATTACCTTATTTGGAAAAAGTATCTTTGCAAATGTGATTAAGTTAAGGATTTTGAGATGAGATTATCCCAGATTATTCAAGTAGGCTCAAATGCAAGCATGTGTATCCTCATGAGAGAGGGACAAAGGGAGATTCGACACAGATAAACAGAGAAGACGATGGGAAGACAGAGCCCGGAGAGATCTGAAGATGTTGGCCCTGAAGATTGGAACGATGTAGCTGCAAGTCCATTTAAGACATTTCATATAAATGAAATCATACAAATATATGACTCTGGTGGTCTGGCTTCTTTCACTTAACATAATGTTTTCAAGATTGATCTGCATTGCAAGTTTTTCGTTGATCTAAAATAATTTCAAAATAAAACGTTTTTAAACTTTGATTTTAGGATTGTGATTTTTAGCTAAAAATATATATATTTTTTAAAGATTGTTAATGGTAGTACAATAGTTTCTCTGTATTGATACATTTAAGATTTACCAGGAAGTAGGTTGGGAAGTTTACATTTAGGCCAGACATCTGTGGTATTTAAGAAAATTAAATGTATTACATATACAAAAATACTTTTAGAAGATTGAGAGAACTTAAATTGCAAATGGGTATGATTATTTAAAGGAGTCTGATATATCCAACCTGAGTTATCAAAGAAAAGATAAAGATAATAGTTCTCATTTTGCTAGATTTATAAATAGAACAATAAAATGTGTAATCTGAATTTGAAAGCCTAAGGAAAACTAGGTTTTAAATGTATTCATCTCATCAAATTGAATCATTATTATATGTTTCTTGTGGCTGTTTAAATAAATTACCGTAAACCTATTGGCTTAAAGTAACAGAAATTTATTCTCCCATAGTTCTGAAGGCCAAGAGTCCAAAATTAGTAGCACTGGGCTGAAATCAAGGTGCCAACAGGGCCTTGCTCTCTCCAGAGAATCTATTCCTCTCATCTTCCAGCTGTTTTCTGGTGGCTGCATTACTCCAATCTTCAAGGTCAGAACCATCAACTCTCTCTCTGCCGTCTTCCCATTGCGTTCTCTGTATATCTGTCAAAACTCTTTTTGCCTCATTAGGATACATGTGCTTGCATTCAGTACCCAGATAATCCAGGATGATCTCATCTCAAAATCGTTAACTTAATCACATCTGCAAAGACCCTTTTTCCAAATAAGGTAACATTGACATCTTCCAGGGATTAGGAACTGATAACTTGGGGGCCATTTTCAGCCTATCATAGTAATTAAAACAAACAAACAAACAAACAAAAACCTAATTGTTAATAATTTTTTCAGTGCACCGAAGCCACTAAAGTGCATCATAAACATGGTGACAGGAAAATGCTGAAATTGGTAGCGTTATTATTGAGCAATGAGACCCAGGGAGCCCACAGCACTTTCCTCTTTGCCTTAAAGCTGAGCTGTTACGGTGCTTCTCTCTCCCAGTGTTTTCAGGTATAATCTATCTCTGGCTAAGATAACTTAGGTCCTTTTTGGAAGTGGGTGACATATATTTAGAGGGAAGTGTTGGGGAACTGGAGGATGGTCCTGATCTCTACTACACCAGGACAGGGAGCAGCAGGCAGACACACCTCTCTGAGAAGATGCCGGGCCGTGAGCTAACTATTTTTTGAAAGCTGAGACTAGTTAAGAGCATAGACTTGAAGCCATACCGCCTGCGTCTGAATCTAGCTAGATTCGGTCATGTTACTAGCTGTGTGACCTTGAGCAAGTTACATAACCACTCTGTGCTTCAGTTTCCTCATCTGTAACATGAGATGATAACAGAATCCACCTTGTAGTTTTGTCATGGGGATTAAATGAATTACAGCATGTGAAGTGCTTACAACAGAGCCTGGCACTTAATAATCACTATCAGGGCTAAGCATCCTTGGCTGCAGTTCCACTACTGCTTTAAAGATGGGGCTTCAAAATGTTTGAACAGTATTTTGCGATTAAAAACAGAGTTTGAACACCACACGGCTGAGAGTTCAGAAAGAGAAAACTAATGGGGATGTTGATTCCTTAAGAGTTGAAACAGATCAGTAGGGAATAGTGAACAGTTTAGACATAAAAGGGTTAAATCCAGCTATAATTCCACAAGGAAGGTGAGAACAGGTCAGGGGTTGGCTGTAGGCAGAGTCTAAGAGGAGTGTCTACAATGATTGGGCTATGGGGAAAGACGCATGGGCCCCAGGCTTAGAAAGATTTGGTTTCCCAGGAACCAAGGGGAGCTGGGAAGCAACCAGCATAGGCTTGGCAAAAAAAGCAGCGTCCAAGGGCTGGGGCTAGAGGTACAGCCAGCAGCCTTCAGGGGGAACCAGGCAGGGCCTGGAGAATGGGAACAGAGCCAGGTGCATCTAAGCCAAGGCCAACTAACTATAAAACCACCCACCAGATTCAAGTAGGCAGCGTAGGGGGCAAAGTTTGAACTCCAACAGTTCGCTGTGTCATTAAAGCAGCTTTGTCATAAGCAAGCCTGACACTAGTCTGTGGATGTCAGCTATCTCTGAGAGGGCAGTCAGGCTGGGGCTACCTCCAGGACCCCGTTTGGCCTCAGAATCACAGCCACTGCTCCCTTGACTTGCCATGTGCCAGGCCCTGGGCCAAGCACTTCGCTTATTAATGAGAAGTCTTTTACTTGTGAGTAAAGAAATCAACTCAAGCCAGATTAATTTTTAAAAAGGGGGAGGGGTGCACTGGGAGGATACAGGAGTGTCTCTTGAACCACAGGTCAGGAGATAGCTGGCCTCAAGAAAGGCCTAGAGTTGGGGGGACGCTTGTACGTCTGGCATTGTCCAGCAACTCTTAGGTTCTCCTTGTGCATCCACCTCATTCATCCTCCTCGGCAGATGTGGATACTCATTTAAGTTGATAAGGCAGGGAGAAGAGGCTGCCTGCAGCCCCCATAGCCCCATGTGGCAGATGCAGCCATAGGGAGAAACTGAAGCTGCATCTGCTCGGCTTTCTCAGGGAAGGCAAGGCCCTGCATGAGTCAGGTGTTCATCTTGGTTCTAACTGGCTACGGTGAGGGGCGGGGGACAGGCCACAAAGAGAAATATAACTGCTATGGCCCTTCATTGTGACCTCAAGGAGGAAGATACAGCCTGAGGAGGTGGGTGGATTTGAATTCAGTTTTGTTTGGCTCCAAAGCCAAGAGCTGGCCCACGAAGGGGAGGGCAGAGGCAGAGGGACTGTGTTCGCCGAGCTCATTTAAGGGCCATAGAGACACAGACAAAACACAAAGTTCCATATGAAAATAAAACTTTAATTGGCCAAGGGAGCATCACAGCCACTCCTGCACACCCCGTATCCTAGTTCTCCTCGGACCGGACAGGGGCCTCCCTCTCCTCACCCCCAGAAGTGGACGGCACACTTTCACTGGGAGCAGTAAGAGACTCGAGGCTGAGGCCAAACTCATAGGTGGGCAGGGGGCTGGGCCGGCTCCTTTCGCCCCTCGCCAGCAATGGGCCGGCCTCGCTCCTCCCAGATGGTGAGGCCGTCGCAGGAGCAGATCTGCTTGGAGTTCTGGAAGAGGCCAGCGGAGCGTGCGATGATGCCACAGGCCAAACTGCAGAAGGATGTGTGGTCAAGGGTGGGTACTTGTCCGGGCCCCTCCAGGTCTCCGCACGCACGGCCTCTTGCTGGGGGTGGCATTACCTACCTCTTTCCTGAGTTCCCTGTGATCTTGGATAAGGGATGGCCACCCCGGCCCAGGTCGTCTTCTCCCTCATCGATGACCAGGCTTCGACCAATCACATCCCATATCTTTGAGGGGAGACAACAGCCTTAGACAGTGGACCTGTGAGGAAAGGTCCCCACTTTCTTTTCCATCCTACCTTTAGCTGCTCGTCCTCTATCCTGAAGTTGGCTCGGCCGTCAGCATCCGCACGGACGTTCCCCAGGTCTCCCCGGTGCTGCAATGAGAGCCAGGGAAGAGGAGCACGTGGGGCATGGCTGCTACCTTCTGGCTTTTCAGTATCGGATTCCCCTTCCCAAAAGTACCAGTGTCCCCCTGTGGGTATCGTCAGGTAGGGTGAAGGGATAGCCCAGGACATAAGGAAGGCACTGGATGCTGGCACCCGGATCTGAAACGCTGGGCAGAATGACAGTCCACTGAAAACAGCCAGTGACTCCGTTCCTAGGAAGTCAAGACCGTTTCTCCTACGAGGCCATCGCCCAGCCTTGCACCCCAGTCTCAGAAGCCAGCCCAGTTCCTGTTTCTCTCCAAGTCCGGTTCTCTAGCCTCCTGCTGACTCTGTGAGGCCTCCACAGTCTGTAATTCTCCTGGGCTTAAGATGGACAAGCTTGGCTTCTTGACCATCAGACCAGCATCCTTTCCTGACTTCCGGCCTCCGGAAGCAGAGAGAAGAAAGTCAAGGGGCAAAGGGCCTATTGTGTCCCTCCAGAAGCCGGCTCTGCCACCTTCTCCCTTGAAGGTAATAAAAATGCCATAACACATCTACAGAGCAGCTCCTACATCAGGCACCCTCTGCCAGGCATGTGGGTGCATACGTGGTCACCACCCTCAAGGGGTCGCAGCTCGGTGGGAGCTCGATGTGGAACAGACAGTGATTATTTAGTCCAACACTGAGTGTGTAGTAGACCTTACTGGTGAGTCCCAGAGACTCACATCTGTGTAAATAAATTGTCTCCAACCTGACACCTTGGGCAGAAACAAGTACCTATACCACTGTGGGTGGTACATAAGGCCTTGCTGAAAAGTATGGTCACAAAGCATGTCACTATATGATGGGTCTGACGAGCAGCAAGAAGAGCCATTTCTCCTTTATCTTGTTTTCTCAGAGAGACATCTGCTGCTTACATCTGGTACTTTTTGTTATGCCCTGTATTGGGGGCTTTTATGGTAGAAAGATCAAGGAGGGGGAGGCGAGGACACTGAGCCTTGGGGAGTGTTTTCAGGACTGGGCTGAGGGAGCAGCAGTGGGCAGTGCAGCAAAGGGTCAGGTGAGGCCGCCTTCCCAGTCCCTCCCCTCCATGTGGGTGGATAGAACTGGGCCGGATGGCCTTGAATGTCACACCAAGCAACTGGGCAGAGCCTGGTACCCTCGGCGCAGGGGAGCCAAGAAGAGTTTCAGGGAGGGGTATGACATGGTGACCCAATGTTTTGCAGCGATCCCTCTAGTACGGTACATGAAGAGAAAGAACTGGAGGGGGACAACGAGAGGAGGGAAGAAAGCTGAGACCAGTTCGAAGACATGCAAAGGGACAACCAGGCTCGGATGTAAATTCTCACACATCTGTCCAAAACCAGATGTTGAAATCTAAAACGAACCTGCCAGTCATCATGGCAGCCTTGGCCATACAGCTCTTGCTCAAGTCTTCTTCCATCTACACCGGACTCCAGCTGACTCCAGCCCCTTCTGATTCCCGGCCCTGAGAGGGGCCTTGGCCCAGGGCATAGGTCATCTCTTGTCCTTCAGAAACCTCCGCTTCATAAGCAACATAGTCTGCAGTTCCCAGATGCTCCTTGCTGGTTCATGCCTCCAGGTCTCTGCTAAGCCTGCCACTACCAGCCCCCCAACTCTTCACCTGCTTAATTCTGGCTCAGCACCTTTCAAGGCTCTGTGAGGAAGACAGGCTTAAGCAGCACTTCCTTGTATTCATATACTTGTATGCTTCCCGCTGAGTGCGGACGGGACCCAGTGTCACACTCGAGATTAGGTTACAAAAGAGTGTGGCTTTGGTCTTGGATGCCCTCCCTTGCTCTCTCATTTACTTGCTGAAGGAAGCCAGCTGCCACGTTGTGAGCTGCCCTAGGGAGAGGCCCACGTGGCCAAGGATTGACATCTGGCCAAGAGCCAGGGAAGCCTCGAGGCCTGCCAATAGCAGCGTGAGCAAGCATGGAAGCAGACCGTCCCCACCTTGAGCCTGGCAGTCCTATAGCCCCAGCCAACATCTTGGCTGAAGGCTGTGAGAAACCGAGAGCCAGACGTTCCAATCCTCACTAAGCTGCACCCAGAGAAGCTATGAGTTGATAAGTGCTTGGTGTTTTAACCCCTAAGAGTGGAGTAATTGGATTCACAGCAATAGATAACTAATACACTAAACGCAAGCATGGGACTGTACAATGGACCTGACAGAAAGGCTTCTCCAACTTTGGGGGGAGCAGGGGTTGGAATAAAAACTTTTGACCATGAAAAATATGACAGAGCTGTGAAAAGTACAAAAAATCAGTTATATGAATTAAGAAACACATACCATGTTTTCACTTGTCTTGCGTCAGAAGCCTGCAAATTTTCATCAAGATAGAAAATAAAAAGCAAGGAAGCCTGAGTCCTGGGAGGGCATAAAGAGGAGTCACCGGTTCTTAGAACCAGGCCCTAGAGCCTTCCTGGTACCAAATCCCCATGTCGGGGGAGCACATACCACCGGAAGTGGAAGATGGTCTTAGGTGTGTGTCCACTAGGAAACATCAAATCCCCAGGAGAGGAGGCAGTCCTCTTTGGCTTGACATCTGGGACAAAGTTTTAGTTTGGTGGTAACAGGTCTTTGACACGGCTCTGTCTAACATTCGCTAATCACTTTAACAAAAGACAAAGGGGGACCTCAATCCCCAGCAGGACTCTGAGAACACTTGTAGCCCTGCACTGATTTATTTCTACAAAGATCCTCCCATTACGGCTAGAAGTACTGGTTCGCCATTCTCTGTGGCAATATCAAGTTTCTTGTTAAAAATAAATCTATCTTTACTACATAAAATAATGACTTGATTTGCTTCAAAATAATGGTGGACAAGGTCTGGGGTGTAGACAAAACAGGCCCAGCCATGAGGTGGTGACTTGAAACTCAGTAACAGGGACCCGGGGGTTCGGGACAGTAGTTTCTTTACTTTGGAATCTGTGTGAAACTTTCTGTGACAGGTTAAAATACTAAAAATAACTAAATTTACCTAAGGAAAAAATGAGTCAATTTAAATCAAAACATTGAGTAACAGAACAAGCAGTACTCAGGTTAGGCAAAAATCATTAAGGCAGCATGTGACTTCGCTGCTGATGGGGAAAGCACTTCTCTGGTGAAAAGTGAAACTCCACTCTACGGCCATGCCACCCTGAACATGCCGGATCCCGTCTGATCTTGGAAGCTAAGCAGGGTCGGGCCTGGTTAGTACTTGGATGGGAAACTACCTAAGAAGACCAGGTGCTGTAGGCGTAAAATAAAAAATAAAAAATAAGAGATTGTAAGCTGACAAGGTCCTTGCAATCTGTGAGGTCAACCAAGGGTTGCCTTGCTTATAAAAAAAAAAAAAAGAAAGAGAGAGAGAGAAAGAGGAAGGAAGGAAGGAAAGAAGGAAGGAAGGAAAGGAGGGAGGGAGGGAGGAAGGGAGGGACAGAAGGAAACTCCAGGACCAGGAGTTGGAGCGTCGGGAATGGCTATTTAGTTCAGGGAAAACCTTCAACTTCAACATGCTGCCCGTGCCCCTCCAACCCCACAGGACTGGGAGTGCCTAGGGGGCAGACCTTGAACACAGGAAGTGTCAATAAATGCTTCTAAAGGGAACAAAAGGAAGTGAAAGGAAAAGACCCCACCAAAAAGGAATCTCGCCCAAAGGTGCCAAGAGCTGCCTGCTCTGCCTCTGAGATCTTGGGCTCCCTCAGCCCAAGCCTCGCCCAGACGAGCACTCACCCGGTGAGCATCCTGCGGGCCCCCATGAGACGTTCCATCAGGGTTAAAGTGGTCCCCACAGCTAAGAAGACAAGGCAGCAGGTGGGCAGCAAAACAGCAATTCATAGGCCAAGTGACCCATCCCCTACATTTGTTTCATTCACTCATTCATTCATTCATTCATTCAACAAACAGGCCCTCTCTATGATAGGCTTTGGTCTGAGGGTACCAAGAAGAATCGAACATGGGTCCTGCCCTCGATAGGCTTGCAGGGGAGACACAGCTGAGTCAACGACTAATTGTACCACAGCATGACAAACACCACGACACAGGGACCTGCCCTTCTCATGTCCGGGTGTTACCTTCCATCTCGGAGGCAGTAAAGGTGGCTAAGAGCAGGAGCATCCAGGTCAGATTTTGGTTCAAATCCCCACTTTACTATTTACATTCTTTGGGGCCTTTGACAAGTCATTTAACTTCTTCGAGCCTCAGTTGCCTCATCTGTACACAGGGCCTATGTGCATATGCCTCACAGGGTACTTGTGAGTAACAAGTATCACAGTGTGTGTAAAGGATTCAATACAGCCCCCTGCACATAGTAGGTGCACGACTGGGAGAATAAGGATTCTACAAGGGAGGTTATAGACGACTTACCTGTTGCAGTTCTTCGTGAGGTCCCCAAACTGGTGGACATGTAGTCCGTGCAACCCAGGCTCCAGGCCATCAATGGTCCCCTCGATGAGGCAGCGCTCAGGGGCTAGCTGTAGGAAGCGTACCACCCCCTGCACAGGGCCAGGTCCCCCCAGAATGGCCACTGCTGCCCCCAGATTCTCTGCAATGTATTAGACATCCAAGTTGGCTCGCTACCTCACCCAGCCCCACCCCTTCATAAGCTGGGGGCGGGCATAGAGAGAACCCCACATAACTTTTACGCCTTCCCCAAAGCCTCTCCAACCCAAAGCCCCCAAATCCTAGGTTAGATTTGTACCATCCCCAGGCCACCTCCCTCCCAGAGAGGCAAAGACAAGGCCACAGTGGTTACTCACGCAGTAAGTCACTGCCCATGCCCTTGAGCACCGCCTGCCGCCCAGTGCCTTCCAGGAGGGCCTGCACTTCCTGGCTAGGCAGGGTGGTCTGCAGCAGGACTATCTGGTTCTCCAACTGCACCTCCACACCGTGGATACCTGGGAGGAGAGAGCGGGCAGAGGGCAGCAGAGGGCAGGCGCCCTATGCTGGGAACAGGGAAGAGAGAAACAGGGCGTCTCCTAATCTCCATCTTCATCAACCTTCTCATGGCTGGAGGCAGGTTCAGAAGCTGCTTTCTAGCTGTGTAAGGCCCTTAACCTGAGTCCGTTTCTTTAAAAAGTGGAGATAATGCCACCTCACTCCCAGGATTATAGTGAGTCCTTATGCCAGGCACTATTTATAATTTTTGAAACATAGATCATTCTTTTAAAAATATTTTTATAAACGTGGGCTCTCAATAAACACATTATTCATGACAGTCAAAAGGTGAAAACAACTCAAAGGCCCATCTACCGAAGAATGGATAAATGTGGTATCTCCACACGATGAAATACTATTCAGCCACAAAAAGAACTGAAGCAGGGTGACATGCTGAAAAACGAAGCTTGAAAACATTATGTTACAGGAAAGCCAGTCCTAAAAGACCACATATTAGATGTCATTCTGGATGAAATGTCCAGAATAGGTAACTCTATTATAGAGACACAAAGTACATCAGGGAGTATGAGAATTGGAGGATATAATTTCTAGCTAAAGGATACCGTTTCTTCATGAAGTGAAGAAATATAAAATTGATAGTGGTGATGGTTATACAACTCTGTGAATGTATTAAAAAGCACTGAATGGCATACTTGAAATGGGTGGACTTCATGACATATGAATTATACTCAATAAAGCTGGTTTACACATAAGAAAGGCGGCTATCACCATCTTCACGAGAGCTAACATTTACTGAGCAAGCCCTGAGGGCTTTTTCGCACTTTACCTGTAGTAAGTAACTCATTTCATGTTCAAGTAACCTTGTGAGATGTGTACTCTTATTCCCAATATTACAGATGAGGAAACTGAGGCACAGAGAAATGAAGAAACTTGCACAAAGTCAATTGTAGCAACCTGCAGGACTGGAATTCGTCCCAGGCAGCCTAGCTCCGGAGCCCAAGCACTTCACCTGGATGCTGCTCACCCTGAGAGGCAGCCCCCAGCCTCCAGGCTGGGTTGGGACCCCCTCCTCTGCCCTCCTTGCAGCTCCCACTCCCCAACGTAACTTGCGCTGCACCGATTACAATCCTCTATGAGGACAGAAGCTCTGGGTAGTCCACAGGGTCAGGTTCAAAAGTCAGTGTGTCCCAGTGCCCCGCAAATCCCCAAAGTCACCCCTGTGTGTACACAGCCTGTGGGATGATTGTGCCACATGCTTAGCTCTGAGGAACACTGAGCCAACTCAAAGAAGAAAGAGAAGGGACTTCTCTTTCATTTGGCTATTTGGGGCTCCCGAGTCTTTTAAGAGAACTCTTAAATCCTCAGCCAGCACACAGGGGGTGGGTGGGGAACCCTAAATGCTGTTCTCACCTGCAGGGCTTACAACCATTCTGCTTTGCTCTCCGCGTATTTGCTGCTCTGAAGGGTGAAGCCCGGGGGAGCCATGGGTGACACAGGAGATGCAGGTTAAACGAGGCGTTTCAGGATGGCGACACTGACCCCTGGCATTCCCTGCATCCCTGGCTTCCCTCCTCTGTAGTCTTTCAACAAGTGTGCGTTTGGCACGGAGGAAGCCAGGTCAGGGAAAGCACTGGGCCTAGTCCTCAGAGAGCTTGTAGGCTGTGGAAGAACTCAGGCTATGCCTGCATTAACCATCAGGCAGAGAAGGGAATAACTCCCAGGGTACAGACCAGGTACCTCAGCTGTCACACTCCTTCCTGCTCAAAGGAGGCAAAACGGAGATGCTACTGAGAGAAGCCAGCACCTGAGAGACGGGAGTACGCGGCCTGTGGTTACAAAAGGTCTCATTGGCTTGCTTCTTCAGATCCCCTGCAGCATCCATGACACTGCTGGGGGACAGGCAGAATGTGTAAGAGATCAGTTGGGTATATGTCCTCCCCTGCAAGTATGGGGCAATTCTGTGAGAAGAAAACCCTCCAAATAACTAAACTGTCCCTCATTTCACACAACATCTCATCCTGGGCCGCCCAACAGCCTGTGTAACCTTGGAGTTCCAGGTCCACCTAGAGGTGCCTTCTGATGCAAAGTGGGGTGTGGACAGGATGGCAGGGAACTCTTGTGGCCTGAGCCTGCAGGGCATGCCAAGAACTGTGTGCTCTGCTTTACACCCATCAGGACGGTGACACTGTCATCTGGCAGGTGAGGAAATGACACTAGAGGGTTATGCAACTAGCTTGAGGTCACAAAGCTTGGAAGGTAGCCTGTCTAACCCCAAAGCTGATGCTTGGTCCCCTTGTCCCAAGGAAGCAGGCTTGGGCCCCAAGGGACTGATTGTCTGAGGCTCTGAGGGCTCAGATAAGGATGCAGTAAAAGAGGTTTCATTTACTCACTCGCCTGTTCATCTATTTAACCATAGTCCAGGAAGCACCTATCATGCGCCATGTTCCAAGCAGTGGGGATAGAGCTGGGAACAAGTCTGGTGATGTCTCTGCCCAACACAGCAGCACACACTCCAGGGCAGGAATACGGATATCAAAGATGCGCATGAGACTCAGTGAAAAGTGTGACCAATGAAACGGGTATTAGGGAACAACTTGGGGGTGAGCCACTTAGATAGGCTGGTCAAAGGCCCTCTGAGCCTTTAAGCAAAGGCCTGAATGTAGCCAGGGAAGGGCATTCCAGCAGAGGGAACGGCATGGGCAAAGATCCTGAGGCAGGAACAACATCGGCACATTTTAGCAAAGGCAAGTGTGGCTGAACCTGGGAGTAAAGAGAATAGTAAGATCTGGAGCTATAAGTGGAGACCGATCAAATAAAGCCTTGTCGGCAACAAGCGAGAATCTGGATTTTAATTTTAATGCAACGGGTGGTCTTTTGGGGAAGCTATAGTGGACAGTGGTGTAGCCCCACCTACAGAGGGAGAGTGTGAGCTCATGAGTTGAAATCCTAGGTCTGCCACATACTAGCTGTGCGGCCTTACACAAGTTACTCAACCTTTCTGCTGAGTTTTCTATTCAGCTTCTTCATCTGCAAATGGAGAGAGTAATACTACCTACTTCGGAAGGTTATTTGAGGTCTAAATGAGTTATTTCATATTTAGCAATTGGAACAGCGCCTGGTCCACGGGAAGCTCTTAAACATTGCATCTAGAGGATTTTAAAACAGGGTAGCCACATTATCTGACGTGTGACTTTACAAATCACTCTGGCTTTTACGTGGAAAAGCTATTAGAGGGGGCACCAGAGGCAACAGGGAGCTCAAAGAGAAGGATCTTGTATGGGTCAGGGAGAGGTGAGGTGGCTTTGGATTGGTGTGAAGGCCAAAGTAGAGAAGCTGGATTCTGAGTATGTTTTAGACATACAGCAGACAAGACTTTATGACAGACTGGCTTCGGTGCAGGTGAGTTCCTGATCTGCCGATTCTCTGCTCCTGAAATGAGAGGGCTCCAAGTAGGAAGTTCTTTGTAACTATGCGCTTCCTGAACTCCTGACCTGAGTCTGAACCAAAAAGAGGCTGGCTCTCCAGCTAAGCAGCAGTTCAGTTTGGCTGGTGAACCACAGAGTGTGGCCAGGTCAGCCCTTGTTTACTTCACGGCCCAGTGAGGAAGAAAAGATAAGGCCACGTGAACCCCAGCATGTGTGATAACAGTTCAAGGAAGTGAGCCTCGGGCTGGGAGCTCCTTCCACTTACACCTACGAAAGGAGCAGAGCGCTCTTCCCCAGGGCCCCAGAGCCTACTGGAGAGGGCAAATCTCTCTCTCCACATTGTGAGAAACTACAATTTCCCTGCTCAGCCCGTGGAAAAGCCAAGCTGGCTCCAGTTACTCAGATCGAAAAATGTGGAGTCACCAGCATTTTTTTCCTGTGCCTAAGAAACCTTCTGAGAACTAAAAATTGCCCTGTGTTCAACAGAAAGTCCAGCTGTCTGCTGTCCCAGCAAGAATATTTTCCAGGAAGTGGAGAGCCCAACATCCTTGGAAAGCTTCTTTCGGTGAAATGAATCTCCGCAGACCCTCACTCACCATCCCTGAAACACGTAGCAAACCCAGCTTCAAGATCTGTCCCCTATTACCTCTGTCCAGCCAGTTTATCACCTATAAGCTCCTCCTCTCATACTTCCTAGGATTTAGTGGGCTCTCATTACATGCCAAAGACTTTTCTAAAGTGATAATTAATTTACTCTGCACCACAATCTTCTGGAGTAGCTTCCATTATCACGTCCATTTAAATACTGAAGAAAGAGGCGCAAAAAGTAACATGCATGAGGCCTCAGTGCCATTAAGTGGCAAAAGGGGATTTGAATCCAGTCTGACTCTAAAGCACACATCCCTAACAACTGTGACACACTGCTGTCCTATACAGAACTGAGTGTCATCACTGTCCCCGCTTCATCTCAGCTCCTCCCAGAACTGCTCGTTCACGAGCAATGCTTGTATGCTCATCTTTACCTAAGGCAGGGACTGTACCTGAAACACCTGTGAACCCTTCTCCCTAAAAAGCCCCCAGCATCTGGTCCATACCTGCTGAATGACTGGATGAACGCACATTTAGCACAAAGGAATGCAGTTCCCAGTGCCATGCTGGTGGCTATGCCTTCTTAGATCTTTCCGATTGTGCTAGGTCACCTCCAGACCAGCTAGTTAGCTGGATTTTGAGAATCAGGAGCTGCCTAGGATGGAACATGGCCAGGGCTGCCTTTTGCTTTGTCGAGATTATGCTGTTTTAACAAGCAAGAACAGCCTATTTTCCAAGGAACTCCCTCTGTAGGTGGGGCTACACTCAGCCTAGCTCCTCACTCTCCAGGCATTTGAGGTTTAAGACACTAGAAGAACAGGCAATTAGTTGCTGGCAGGGCAGGCTTGAGACCTGTACTCCAAACTCTGCCTCTGGGTCTTTATGTGATTCTGAGCATATTCCTTCCTCTCTCTGGGTCTCAATTTCTGCATCTGTAAAATGGGACGAGGGTTAGTCTACGAGATTTGCCCGCCTCTCCCAGAGGACTTTAGACTGTCCGCTGAAAATTTATGTGGCTCTTACCTGCCACCCCTTGCAGGGACTTGCGCACCGCGTCCACGCAGCTCTGACAGGTCATCTGCACTGCAAACTCCAGCTGCAAGGGCGGCAGTGACCGGCCGATGAGATCTGGGGACCCCTCTTGCGTAAGTTTCATAACCTCCTAGGACCACCCCAAAGGCCTGGGGAAACACTCCACGTGACCCTTCCTCAAGCGCCTTCGTCATTATCACTCAAGATCACTTCAGGACCAACAGCCGCATATATTAACGCCAAGGACCCTGCTACTCTGGCACCTGTTTCACGCCGGAGCCCCAGGCCTCGCCCCTGATGCCTGATTCTCCCCCCTCACCCCAACCCCCTTCGCGAGTTAACGATCACCCCTAGGGGCCGGGGCTCTCTGCCCGGCGAGGATCCCACACGAGGCCTCGACCCTCACCGTGCAGGCGGTCCCACGGTTCCCCGAATCCGATGCCATCTCGGACCCAGTCACTGGCGGAAGGACGCGAACTGCTGGAAACCTGCAACGCAAACCTGGGACAGGGTCGCGAAGAGGCGGAGCCTCGAAAGCTGGCCTTCGCCTCGCCTCCAGGTGCGCGCGCACGCAAGGCCCCGCCCCCCGCCCCCCTCACGGCCACTGGGCGGAGAGCAAGGGCCGCGCAGGCGCATTGCGGACGTCCGGCCCCCTGGTTGTCTTAGTAACCACTTGGTCGCCTCTGCATCTGTGGCCTGCGCCGCCAGCGCTAAAATGGATCCTTTTAAACAGGAATCCGAGCTCCAGCAGTTTTACCACCAGTTGCTGCGTCCACTGTCGCTCTTTCCCCGCAAGCCGACGCGCCCAGAGTCTCAGAAGCGCCTGTCGCTGGACGTCCCGATGCTACTGCCCCTGCCCGTCTCGCGGCTGACAGTGGCATCACTGTGCCGCCGGGTGGCCAAGCGGCTGGCCAGCAGCGGGCTGACGGAGCGGATGCCTCCCGAGGGCCGACAACGTTTCACAAAGGTCATCCTGGACGAGCTAAAGTGCAGCTGGCGGGAGCCACCCCCCGAGCCTAGTCTGAGCCACTTGGACAACCAGAGGCTGCGGAAGCGGCTCCTGGTCTACGTGCTGCTGAGCTGCGAGCAGCTCTTCTTACGCTACCTGCACCTGCTAAAGACCATGTCCGCCACCTCAGAGGTCTTCACCGAATCAGCCACACTCACCCGGTTGACCGCCAGCCTCGCCAAGGACTGCGCGGTCTTCCTCACCAGCCCTGATGTCTACCGTACCCTGCTCGCCGACTTCCGCGCCCTGCTGAAGGTAGAGCAGGCCAAGGGCGGCTTATACAAGCTGCGCCCCATCGGCCCCCCTGCGGCTTTCAAGCCATGGCCTCAAGGCACCAGCATCACCCAAGGGCCATGCTGCAACCTCAACCTGAGCTACCTCATCCAACTCAGCCGCGCACCAGAGTTTCTCAGTGAACCCGAATCAGACCCAGTGAAGGAATTGAAGTCCATCCCCAAGCTGAAGAGGAGAAAGCCTCTCCGCTTGCCGTCCTCCGCGCAAAAGAAGAGAGAGAGCGGCTTCAGTTCCTCACAGATTGTGTACTCCGTGGCTCCCACCAGCGAATCTCCCCCCGTCTCCCATTTGCCTCTCTACTCCCAGCTCCAGAAGGGCCAGTCCATGCCCTCTCTGCGTGAGGGCTGGAAGCTAGCAGATGAATTGGGCCTTCCTCCACTCCCACCTCGTCCCTTAACCCCGCTGGTCCTGGTTACAGAGAGCAAACCAGAGCTGGCAGGGGACCCGGTGACTGAGGACCTGAAGCAAATGATGAAGAACATGAAATTGGAGTGGACTCGCTCCTCACCGCTGGACTCAGGTCTGGCCCTGCTCCTGGGGGCCATGACCCACCGCCCAGCTGCAGCACATTGTATGGCAGAGCTGCAGCGAATGTTGAATGAAGAAGAAGCCTCCAGGCAGCAGGGCCCCAAATCCCCTCCACTTCAACCACAGCCAGTGACGGTTACTTTGAAGCTAAATCAGACTGTGGTCCAGGCAGCTGGTGTACAGATCTCTGAGAGAAAATTTTTGGATTCATTCCACGTCAAGGGGACTGGAGTCCTGTACAACCACCTGGCTGGCGAACTGGATCCCAAACTTATTGAGGAAATGGATACTGACCGCTTTGTCGGTAATAGCATCAGGGAGGTCTACAAGGAGTTGATGAGCCGTGTCTCTACTGACCACTTCTCTTTTGAGCAGGGACCCCTGATTGAGCCTGCAGCCAGTAAAGACTGGTCGATGTTCCTGACCTCAGCCTTTATACGTCAAGAGAAACAATATGTCATCAACCCCAAGCTGGCTGGACTTCATCCCCAGAGAGCAAACATTTTACAGCCCAATGCTGATAGGATGTCCATCACATCACTCCAAACAAGCAAAGCCTGGGAGAAGCAGGCAAACAAGCCCTCGTGGATGAACTGGTGGAAAACCACCTTGTCTGCGGATGACTATTTCAAGTATCTCACCAACCAGGAGACAGATTTCCTCCATGTCATCTTCCAAATGTATGAAGAGGAGGTTCCTGTGGAGACCGTGGCCCCTGTCAAAGAGCCCCTAAAGATTCAGCACCCTCCTCCATTGCTAAAAGATGAGGAGCCAGACTTTGTGCCAGGAGAATGGGATTGGAACACGGTGCTTGGGTACAGGCAAGAAACTAAGAGAATCAATCTCCTAGGAGAACCCTACAAAATCCAGAGCCTGCAGAAACGTCTGGAGCGGCTGTGGTCCATGCTTGAGGTCCCCCACAAGGACCGGCTGGACATAGCCATCAAGTACAGCTCCAATGCCCGTCTGAGGCAGCTGCCTTCACTGGTGAGTGCCTGGGAGCGGGCCCTGCAGCCCATTCAGCTTCGAGAGATGTTGCTGGGGAAACTGGAGTGGTTTGAGCGACAGGCCTCTGACCCCAACCGTTTCTTCCAAAAGATGGGCATGGGTCTGAATCGCTTCCTGGAGGAAAATCAGATCCGCAGCCATCTGCATAGGAAGCTCAATCTACTGGAGGCTCCTTTGGCTTCGCTCCTGGAGGAGATCGAGCTAATCTTTGATGAGCCAGTGACCTTCAAGGGGCGGCGCTACCTGGACAAGATGAAGCACGACAAAGTGGAGATGCTCTACTGGCTGCAGCAGCGGCGGCGGGTGCGCCACCTGGTCCAGGCCCAGAAGGCTTCCTATCAGTCAGTCATGTTCAGGAGGCTCAGCAGCTCACCTGCAATAGACCCTGGGAGTAACTCCATTCTTCTTTGACCAGGCCAAGTGCTTTCAAATCCCTCCCTAATTCCCCAACACCCAGCAGCTCGTTCAGACCTCTCGACTGCTTTAGAAGAAGAAATATCTGAGGGTTCAGGAACACTGTGCTTTCAACTATCAAGGGACTGAGATCAACACTTTATTTTGACAGCGAAATTCTCTTAAACAACCCCCAGACCCAGCATTCTCATGTATGTCAAGCTAAGCAAAATACAGTCAATATCTCATATATCAAAAGAACTGAGACCATCCCTTGAAGTTCATTGTAATGGAAAACATCAGACAGAGGCAAACCATCACCTTCGGAATACCTTGGCATTTCTATCACACTACAGTGAATTGACCGACAGGGCCCCAAATCAAAAGGCTCAGTGGCATAATGGTTAAGAGCTAGGGCTCTGGAGTTAGCGGATATGGGGTTAAATCCTGGCTCTGTAACCTTGGGCAAGTTACTTAACTGCTCGGCACCTGTCACATGTCAGATGAAGGGGTTGGGTCCAGGTTGTCACCACTTCCAGTTCTAGCATACCGTAGGTGGAGTTAAATATTTTAATTAAACTTTTACCAGTTACTACAAGTACATGGTTCACAGTACACAAGGGTGTGTACTGAAAAGTAAGTGTCCTTTCCATCACTCCCTCCAGGACCTCCGTTCCCCTCCCCGGGGGTAACAACTGTTACCAGTTTCTTGTGTATCTTTCCATTTCCTTATTCAGGAAATAATAATTGAGTACCTACTAGGTGGTTTATGCTCAGTCTGCATCACTGAACAAAACAAAGGCCCCTACCCTTTGTAGAGTTTATTTCTACTGGGGGGAAACAGACAATAAACCATAAACATAGTGTCTAAGAACATTGAATATTAGAGAGTGGTAAGTATTGTGGGGGAAAAAAAAGAATAGGGTAAGAGGAGATCAAAGGTGGTCCGTATAGGCCTCGCTGGGAAGGTAAGAGTTGACCAAGGCTTGAAGGAGGGGAAGAAGTGAGCTCTGTGGACATGTGGGACAACAGCTGTCCTGACAGCCACTGCAGAGCCTTAGGTAGAAGCCTGAGGTATCTCAGAAATGCAAGGTGGCCAGTGTGGGTGGAGCAAAGGAAGAGGAGGAGATGAGTCAGAAGGGTCATGACAAGGTACCGAGGGGCAGGTTAGATTACGTAAGGCCTCGTAGGCCATTGTATGAACTAGTTCAGAGATAGCCTATGCACATATGAGCACATATGTACATATTATCCATGCATATTTTTAGCTACATCAATAGTAGCATGCCGTACCCTGTTTTTTTCCTTTTTTCATGCCTGAGCTCATATCAATACACAAAGAGCTGCTTTAGTCTTTTTGATAGCTATATAGTATTCATTGTATTTTTATTTTATTTAATCCCTTATTATCAGACACTTAGAAACAAAAACAATGCTCTAAAAACATCTTCGTTCATCTATTTAGGATTGCAACTATTTCTGTAGTTTAAATTTCTGGAAATGGAATTATGTTTAAGCATAAGCATTTGTAATTTTGGTAGCTATTACTAATCACCCTCCACAAAGATTGTAACAATTTGCATTATCATCAAAATTGTATGACTATACTTTCCCCACTCTCAACGATAGAATGTTATCAAATTTTTAAATCTTTACCATCTAGTAGGTGAAAAATGGTATCTTATTTGAATTGTGTTCTCTTTTATGAGTGAAGTTGCATCTTTCATACATTTAAAAGCTGTTTTTATTTCTTTTTCGGTAAAATGCCCATGCCCTTTGCCCACTTTTCAATTGGTTATGACTATTTTGTTTTCTTGATTTTTCAATGCTCTTTATATATTCAGGAAATTAGCCAACACGTTAGTAGTTACCTTGTGCAAAACACTTTCTCCACATGATTTCTTAGACTCCTCACAACCACTGTGAAGTACGTATTTTAATTGCCATTTTACAGCTGAGGAAATGAAGGCTCAGGTAGGTTGGGTAACTTACCCAGGGTCATAAAGGCAGTAAAATGGAGAGCCAGGGCCCAAGCCCCAGACTTTCTGACCCAGAAGCCTATATGTGTACTGATTCTGTGAGATACGGTAAGAGAGCTCTTAGACACAGCCTGCCTCACCTGCCAGTGTAGGTAATGTGAAAGCCTCAGATCTCCACTTACTATTGGCTGGCACATAAGTTTCCACTTCGTTTTGTTTTTTCTATAAAACAGCATTCCTCAAACTTTCCCACTCAAGTACCTCTTAGATTGGAGGAAGATAAACAAGCATCTTGTTCAGGTATGAGGGATTGGGGGGCAGAGGGAGTAGAGGGAAGCAGTGCTGGTCTGAAAAGAATGAGAGAGATTTCTTTAAAGTCTTTTATTTTTGAAATTCATGCAAAATTTGCATTTTACTCCGTAATATGTCCATATTTATTTTAATATAAAAATGATGCTTGACATCACTTATCTTTAAATTAAACTGGCCCTCTGGGCAGATACGCTGTATTAGCATTTATTCTCTCCTGGCATACCGCTGTATTCTCCGGAAGTTACGCATAGCCTAGGTGAGAGACACTACAGCAGAAGTCAGCAAACTTTTTCTATGAAGAGCCAGGTAGAAAAATATTTGGGTCTTTGTGAGCGATATGTGACAAAGCTCGACTTGGCTTTCATCACATGAAAGCAATTATAGATAACACCTGAGTCAATGGACAGGGCTGTGTTCCAATAAAGCTTTATTTCCAAAACAGGCAGCGGGCCAGATTTAGCCCGTAGGCTGTAGTTTGCTAATCAAAGTGCTGCAGCATCGGCCCCTTTAAAAAGCAAATACACTCAGGAGGAGTAAGACAGGAAGCTTGGTGCAGTATTTCTTAAAGCACGTTGCATAATAAGTTAATTCTGGGACCGGCTTTCCCAGAGTTCCAGACCTAAACCCATGGCTGTGCAATCCCCCATTGCTGATCCTGTTTACAGGTTTGGAGAATGTAATGATAACTACTGTTCATCCGTGCTTTACTGATTACAAAGTGCTTTTCACATTCATTCAGCTAAGAATCAGTGGACTGTAACTTGCCTCTGAAGTGGTGGAGTCAGGACTTAAACCCAGGTCTGGGACTTGAAGTCCTTTGCCCTGGGTGGAGGGACCAGGCTCTGGAGTCAGGACTTAAACCCAGGTCTGGGGACTTGAAGTCCTTTGCCCTGGGTGGAGGGGCCAGGCTCTGGGCCAAGTCCTTTGCCCTGGGTGGAGGGGCCAGGCCCTGGGCCAAGCCCAGCCTCCACGCAGCCAGTGGCCCCTGGTCCCATCCCAGCAAACTCAATTGTGTTGAGAACCAACCGTTTGCCGAGTATCAGACTCAGGTGCTTTAAAGCTATTATTTCATTTAATTCTCATAACAATCTTGCAAAGAAAAAAAAGACATTTTACTTCCCTTTGGGGAAACAGGACTCTAGGATAATTGGATGAAAACTGATTTTCTAAATTACCAAGGATTTTTGCGGAAGTTTTAGTTTCATGTCTGTTGTAGATCCAGAGGCCATCAGACAATACTTTAAATCTGAGCTGGGATGACTGGCTGCAGCCCTTTTGCTCCCCAGGCAGGGGCAGAACCTAAACTCATAAAAGCCCAAAATCTTCTCTGTTTACTAAGACATTAAAGGGATGGCTCATTTATTTGCATATTAAAAAAATATATATATATTAGGTATTTAAATTAACCCCATTATATGTTAACAAATAATACATTTTTATGAAAAATAACTTTTCTAAAAACAAATGTAGTGAAAAGTGGCTGGTTTCCTCTTTTGCGAATCTCTTTAATGTCTGGCCTCATAGGAGACAGCTGGGTTATCTGTTTCTGCATACATCTGTTGCAATATCAGAGGCCATGTAGCCTCTGGGGACCCTATTTGAATTTTTTTTTTTTAAGTGGAGGGGGGTCAGAAAGCAGTGGTGAGGGTGGTGGAAGGGGCAGGGAGACATGTTGGAATCAGGGACCGGGCAGTCGATGGGGCAGGAGCAGTAGCAGTGGGGGAAGGGTTGAGTGACAAGGAATGCTTGTTATGCTTATAAAATGTCAAGGACAAGACCAGAGGTAAAACTACAACATGGAAACAAACAAAAAAAAACAACAAAAAAAACCCCAGTAATCCTGTGAATTGGTCATCTGCTCCTGGACAAGCAGACTTGCTTTTGGTGACCTGGCTGCTCTGGGAAGCTGAGACCCGCAGAGAAGCCAAGTGCCAAAGGCACACAAGGTCCTGACGAGGACTAGATTTGAGCCCAGGTGTTTCTGACTCCACTAAGCCTATGGCCCTGCCCTTCCTGGCCTTGGGGTTTCTGTGTTTGGCCCACTTTTTCCTTGTACCATTGTTTACCAAACACTTTATGTTGACTCACTTTTTAAACTTATTTTAAAAAGCAATTTAAATCATCTTAGCTAATACCTGTATAATGATTATTAAGTGCCAGTCTCAGTTCTAAGCACTTGCATGCAGTAACTCATTTAATCCTCAAAGCAATGCAAGGAGGTAGGTACTACCATTATTTTAAGGTCCAGGTGAGGAAACTGAGGCACAGAGTGGTTATGTAACTTGCCCAAGGTCACACAGCTAGGAACATGGCAGAATGTGGATTCTGACCCAGGGGTCTGACTCCTAGTACATGCTCTGAACCATTATACTGTATTTTGTCATAAAATAGAAAACACGTGGCCCAGTTGAGGCCCCTGGTTAGATGCCGAATATGCTCACATTCTGGAATTTCATTATTGCCTGCACCCTGAGGAAATCAGATTTTCTCCCTGCAGGTCCAGAGCACATTCATTGTGCCCCTTCTGAGGGTCAGATGCTCCGCTTTGGAGAGGTGGCGGGGGAACCAGAGGACACCAGGGGGAACCAGAGCCCCAGGTCCTGCTGCCAGGGAGCTTAAGGTTTAGGAGAGAAGAACATTTCAATAATATGGCAGGTGAAGGGTACGGTGGGAGCCTCCAAAAAGGACATTCAACAGAGCTGGGGCCAAGGGGTGGGTAGAGCAGCTCAAAGGGCACCACACCCAAGTGGGGACTGGGTCCTAGAAGATTGAATGGGAATCGTCAGGCACATGGTGGCAGAGGACGGGAGAGCATTCTAAGTCCGGCACTAACAAAAGCACAGAAGGAGGATGAGCACGGCGTACGTGGAAGACATGCATGCACTTCGTCATTAACCAGCCTTTAAGGTTCCTGGAGGGGAGCGAGCCCAGAAGGGGAGGCAGAGCCAGGTCAACTTTGGTGTTAGTTCCACAGGTGTGAGAAGCCACGTACCCATCAGCAAATGCGTATGGAACACCTGCTCCATGCCAGGCGCTGGTCTAGGTGGCGAGGATGCCATGCTGAACGATGCCGACCAGGACCCCTCATGTTCCATTTGGGGAGACTCGACAGTCATGCAGGTAAAACACGGTATGTGAGATGGTGACAAATGGTATGGGGAAAAACGCAAAAGGAGCAATAGAAAGTTCAGAGAGTGGCCATTTAAAATAGGAGAATCAGAGGAGGGAGTATTAGAAAAAACCCTGGAAAGGGTAGGAGGTGCTGTGTGATATCCTGGGAAAGAACATTCTGGGCAGGACCTCAGGGAAGTGCAAAAGCCCTGAGACGGGTGTGTGCCTGATGGGTCTGAGGGGGCCAGTGTGGCTGGAGTGCAGCGAACCAGGTGGGGATTGTTTGGGAATTAGGTCAGAGAAATAATGGGGTTTTAACAGCCCTTAAGTCAGAGAGGTGACATTTGGCTGCCCTGTGGGTGATGGTTAGGAGGCTGGCAGGCTGGAGGTAAGCAGAGCAGGTGGAGGCTGCCACAGGGGGAGCAGGGCCGCTGTGGTAGGATGATAAGCAGGGATGGAGGCAGACTTGGCAGCATCTGGGCATGACTGGGTGTGGGGATTGAGGGTGAAGAGTGAAGGACACCTCCCGTGTGTCTGGCTTGGGCCTCTGGTGGAGCGTGACATAAAATGAGAGGATGGAGGGCTCACTGGGAACGGGTGCAGTGGGGGTGGGGAGAGATGAGGAGTTCAGCCCTGTAAAGGTTAAATTTGGGGTGCCTGCAGGGCGTCTGAGTGAGAGCCATCCAGAGGTAAACGTTTTTCTATTCTGCCAAAGATAGAAATACTCTTTGAACAGTGTATCTATGTAACTGTGTCTTGTGTAGCTGCTCTGATATTGTCACAAATCTGTCATTTTCTAGGCTGTTTTTAGCTGGAAAGTATCAATCTGGGGCCTAAAATGTGTATAGGAATGACTTGTTAAAAATTTTCCCAAAGCTGCACTTTTTAAAAAAGCTATTAATCACTAAATACAAAGTTTGCCTAATACCACTGAGTTAGGCATTGCTGTGCACTGAATACGAGTGTCCCCCCAAACCCCCAATGTGATGGCGTTTGGAGGTGGGGCAATTGGGAGGTAATTAGGATTAGATGAGGTCATGAGTGTGGGGCCCGTATAAAAAGCAGGAGCGACCAGAGTCCCCTCTCTCTCCACTGTGTGAGGGTATAGCAAGAAGGTGGCCCATGGCAAACCAGGAAGAAGGCCTTCACCAGACCCTGAATCTGCAGGCACCTTGATCTTGGACTTCCCAGCCTCCAGAACCGTGAGAAACAAATGTTTGTTGTATAAGCCACCCAGTATGTGATATTTTGTTATGGCAG